ATATATACTACACCCCATATACAGGAGGACCATGTGATATATAATATATACTACACCCCATATACAGGAGGACCATGTGATATATAATATATACTACACCCCATATACAGGAGGACCATGTGATATATAATATATACTACACCCCGTATACAGGAGGACCATGTGATATATAATATATACTACACCCCATATACAGGAGGACCATGTGATATATACTACACCCCATATACAGGAGGACCATGTGATATATAATATATACTACACCCCATATACAGGAGGACCATGTGATATATACTACACCCCATATACAGGAGGACCATGTGATATACCGAGATCCTACGATCTCCACCTGTGATCTCTACCTGTGATCTCTACCTGTGATCTCTACCTGTGATCTCCACCTGTGATTTATCAACTTGTGATCTCCACCTGTGATCTCTACCTGTAATTGATCTACCTGTGATCTCTACCTGTGATCTCTACCTGTGATCTCTACCTGTGATCTCCACCTGTGATCTCTACCTGCAATTGATCTACCTGTGATCTCTACCTGCAATTGATCTACCTGTGACCTCTACTTGTGACCTCTACTTGTGACCTCTACCTGTGATTTATCAACCTGTGATCTCTACTTGTGATCTCTACCTGTCATTGTTCTACCTGTGATCTCTACCTGTGACCTCTAGCTGTGATCTCTACCTGTGACCTCTACCTGTAATTGATCTACCTGTGATCTCTACTTGTGATCTCTACCTGTCATTGTTCTACCTGTGATCTCTACCTGTCATTGTTCTACCTGTGATCTCTACCTGCAATTGATCTACCTGTGATCTCTACCTGCAATTGATCTACCTGTGATCTCTACCTGTAATTGATCTACCTGTGATCTCTACTTGTGATCTCTACCTGTCATTGATCTACCTGTGATCTCTACCTGTGATTGATCTACCTGTGATCTCTACCTGTGATCTCCACCTGTCATTGTTCTACCTGTGATTGATCTACCTGTGATCTCTACCTGTGATTGATCTACCTGTGATCTCTACCTGTCATTCTTCTACCTGTGATCTCTACCTGTCATTGATCTACCTGTGATCTCTACCTGTGATCTCTACCTGTGATATTATAGGGGGATTATACAGGTGATGTCATAGAGGGGATTATACAGGTGTGTTGTGTATAATGAACGAGTGTCACAGGACACACTGGTATGAATGGGCCATTGGGCGCTCACACTGAGGTGCTGTCATAGTCAGTGGTGGTGTACAATGCGGGGGCTCTACACATGACGTATGAGTGACAGGTGGGGGATAGTCAGAGTATTTCTGTCTCGGCTCTGATGGTCTCAGCTGTTGCCCCTCCCCCCGCTCTCTGCCTCTCATATTCTGCTCTTCAGTGTAGTAACCCATAGCAACTGTCCAAACCATCTGACAGCAGATTAATAAGCTCGAGTTGCTATGGGTGACCGTACTCCAGGATCAGCCCCATACTGTCTACAGCTCGGTGCAGTGACAAGGAGGACCATGTGATATATAATATATACTACACCCCATATACAGGAGGACCATGTGATATATACTACACCCCATATACAGGAGGACCATGTGATATACCGAGATCCTACGATCTCCACCTGTGATCTCTACCTGTGATCTCTACCTGTGATCTCTACCTGTGATCTCCACCTGTGATTTATCAACTTGTGATCTCCACCTGTGATCTCTACCTGTAATTGATCTACCTGTGATCTCTACCTGTGATCTCTACCTGTGATCTCTACCTGTGATCTCCACCTGTGATCTCTACCTGCAATTGATCTACCTGTGACCTCTACTTGTGACCTCTACTTGTGACCTCTACCTGTGATTTATCAACCTGTGATCTCTACTTGTGATCTCTACCTGTCATTGTTCTACCTGTGATCTCTACCTGTGACCTCTAGCTGTGATCTCTACCTGTGACCTCTACCTGTAATTGATCTACCTGTGATCTCTACTTGTGATCTCTACCTGTCATTGTTCTACCTGTGATCTCTACCTGTCATTGTTCTACCTGTGATCTCTACCTGCAATTGATCTACCTGTGATCTCTACCTGCAATTGATCTACCTGTGATCTCTACCTGTAATTGATCTACCTGTGATCTCTACTTGTGATCTCTACCTGTCATTGATCTACCTGTGATCTCTACCTGTGATTGATCTACCTGTGATCTCTACCTGTGATCTCCACCTGTCATTGTTCTACCTGTGATTGATCTACCTGTGATCTCTACCTGTGATTGATCTACCTGTGATCTCTACCTGTCATTCTTCTACCTGTGATCTCTACCTGTCATTGATCTACCTGTGATCTCTACCTGTGATCTCTACCTGTGATATTATAGGGGGATTATACAGGTGATGTCATAGAGGGGATTATACAGGTGTGTTGTGTATAATGAACGAGTGTCACAGGACACACTGGTATGAATGGGCCATTGGGCGCTCACACTGAGGTGCTGTCATAGTCAGTGGTGGTGTACAATGCGGGGGCTCTACACATGACGTATGAGTGACAGGTGGGGGATAGTCAGAGTATTTCTGTCTCGGCTCTGATGGTCTCAGCTGTTGCCCCTCCCCCCGCTCTCTGCCTCTCATATTCTGCTCTTCAGTGTAGTAACCCATAGCAACTGTCCAAACCATCTGACAGCAGATTAATAAGCTCGAGTTGCTATGGGTGACCGTACTCCAGGATCAGCCCCATACTGTCTACAGCTCGGTGCAGTGACATCTCTACCTGTGATCTCTACCTGTGATCTCCACCTGTGATCTCTACCTGCAATTGATCTACCTGTGATCTCTACCTGCAATTGATCTACCTGTGACCTCTACTTGTGACCTCTACTTGTGACCTCTACCTGTGATTTATCAACCTGTGATCTCTACTTGTGATCTCTACCTGTCATTGTTCTACCTGTGATCTCTACCTGTGACCTCTAGCTGTGATCTCTACCTGTGACCTCTACCTGTAATTGATCTACCTGTGATCTCTACTTGTGATCTCTACCTGTCATTGTTCTACCTGTGATCTCTACCTGTCATTGTTCTACCTGTGATCTCTACCTGCAATTGATCTACCTGTGATCTCTACCTGCAATTGATCTACCTGTGATCTCTACCTGTAATTGATCTACCTGTGATCTCTACTTGTGATCTCTACCTGTCATTGATCTACCTGTGATCTCTACCTGTGATTGATCTACCTGTGATCTCTACCTGTGATCTCCACCTGTCATTGTTCTACCTGTGATTGATCTACCTGTGATCTCTACCTGTGATTGATCTACCTGTGATCTCTACCTGTCATTCTTCTACCTGTGATCTCTACCTGTCATTGATCTACCTGTGATCTCTACCTGTGATCTCTACCTGTGATATTATAGGGGGATTATACAGGTGATGTCATAGAGGGGATTATACAGGTGTGTTGTGTATAATGAACGAGTGTCACAGGACACACTGGTATGAATGGGCCATTGGGCGCTCACACTGAGGTGCTGTCATAGTCAGTGGTGGTGTACAATGCGGGGGCTCTACACATGACGTATGAGTGACAGGTGGGGGATAGTCAGAGTATTTCTGTCTCGGCTCTGATGGTCTCAGCTGTTGCCCCTCCCCCCGCTCTCTGCCTCTCATATTCTGCTCTTCAGTGTAGTAACCCATAGCAACTGTCCAAACCATCTGACAGCAGATTAATAAGCTCGAGTTGCTATGGGTGACCGTACTCCAGGATCAGCCCCATACTGTCTACAGCTCGGTGCAGTGA